GATTGAGACTGGGTGTGGTAGTGCATGCCTGTAATCCCAGCACTTGGGAGGCTGAAAACAGGATCACTATGAGTCTAATCTGTGTAGTGAGACCCTGTAGACCAAGTACTAAATAATTAAATACATTAAAAAGTTTTTTTAAATGAACATTTCTCTAAAGAAGATGCACAAAGGGCTAGCAAGTACATGAAAAATACTCCATGTCACTTACTGATTAACTGAGGAAACAAATCAAAGCTAAAATCCCCACTGGGGCCGTTACCACAATGAACATGTGTTTCATCAAGGCTGGTGAGAAATTGAAACTTCTGTTGGTAGGAATGGAAGGGTATAGCCACAAGGAAAAGTAATACGGTATGGCAGTTCCTCAAAAGATCAAAATAGCTTTACCATGGGATCCCGCAATTCCACTTCTGGGAATTTACCCAGAAGATTTAAAAGCAAGGCCTTGAAGAGACACTTGCATACTGGCAGTCACAGAGCTTATTCGCAAAGTGCAAAAAGTTGAAGTCTATTACCGAAACACAAGTCTATTACCAGATAAGCAGATAACAGCTTTGGTGCAGACACACAGTATTTTCAGCCTTTCAAAGGAAGCTCTAATGCACGCTACCATGTGGATGAACCAAATGATTTTTGACAGACCCATACCCTATGATGTCCCTTGTACACATGGAGTCTGTGTGTGTGTGTGTGTGTTAGGACCAGGTGTACAGGGATTGAACCTGGGTCCTTGTGTCTGCTCAAGCAGGCACTTTAATAGCAGGTGTTCTGCTGAGCTATCTGACCAGCCCTCTTTTTAAATTTTTAATATTTTAAAGAGAAAACAAAACTGGAAAAAATAACAGGAACTGAACAGAAGGCACTATAAGACAGTACAAAGTGTGCACAATTTCAGAACAAGAATGGAATATTATCAATGGCTATTATGTATTGTTATTGTGAAATTGTTGCTCAGACTACCAGTTATAGATAGACAAGATTAATCAAGCAATCAAACATTCACTCTTCTTCTCAACAAACCTTAGGTTTGTCCCCTGGTCCTTTTTACTTTTTGTTTTTCAATGTACTTGAAAGAGAGTATAGTCACAGTAGATGAGACATTAAAGACGGGCTGTATTTAAATGAGCAAGATGAAAGAGATTCAGCTGGGGCTGTTACGTTGCACACTGTTGTTCTCGATGTAGTTGCTCGGATTACAGATCTTAGTCTATAGAGTTCCACGCAATGAAAATTTTAAACATTAGCTGCTACTTTCAAAAAACTGATAAAATTTAGTAGTTCAATCTTCTCAGCTATCCTGTATATATACTTAATGATTTTCCCCCGTTTTCCTATCTTTTCTCCTTCCCTCATCTCCATCTTCTATTCCTGATGTTCAGTTTCTTTCTATTTTACAATATCTACTGTACCTTTCAGATTTTATTTGATCTAAGAAATGTGTACTGTAGTCCTTCACCCATTCCTTAATCATGTTAACTGTGGCTGAGCTGTAGATTTCTTTTTGGGGTGCGAGATATGGTTCAGTGGTAGAGTTTTTCTCCTGGTACGCAAGGCCCTGGATTTGAACCCCAGCACCGCCAAACAAAAAGCGAAGATGTTCATGTTCCAGTTGATTTTAGAAGTCTGCTGAGGATAATGCTGGTGCTTCCAAGTTACTCTCATAACTCATGGTATCATTATCCTTTTGGAAAATCATTGACAAAAACTACCAAGAATACTAAAACTACCAAGAGCTTTGCTCTTTTGAAAGAAGCAACTTCGTTTGGAATTCTGAAAGGAAGAGAATTTTATCATACAGCTTTTTCACCTGCTCCCAGAAATGGCCAGAAGAGGGAGCGCAAGAGCAGCATGAGCCCTTGGAACAGTGGAATGTGGGAATTTCTGCTGTGGTGCTAAAAAGGAGGGTGAACAGAGATACAAATCGGCCTTTGAGTTAAGGTTTGTGGATGGAGAGGAGTGCTGCAGAAGGGACCTAGGTGAAGAGGAAACATACTTCAGTGAGCTGTACTCCAGGTCTTTTTTCTTATAAAAATCATCACAACACAACTACTCTCTAGGACAAGGAGAGTTAGTTTAATTTCCTTTGCATGTTGCATTCTCTGGCTACTGTTGCAAATAACACACCGTTTCTGAATTTGGATCTTACTGCTGTTTTAATTTTTTTCCTATATTAAATCTCTTTCTGACTGGCTGTCTGTCTGTCCCTGAAATTGATCTCAGTATATTGTGCTTGCCAGATAGGCAATTTTGTGAGAGCTATATCCCTGTTCTCTGCAAAATCTTTCAAGTATAAGAGACTCGAGTTTTTTGGTTTTTTGACATGGGAAGTTGCTTTCAGAATAGGACCTAATTTATTTATTTATTTATTTATTTATTCTTTGGCGGAACCAGGGATTAAATTTAGGCTCTTTCACCTGCCAGGCAAGCGCTTATTCTACTGAGCCATCTCCCCAGCCCTAGGAGCTAATTTATAAATTATTTAAAATACACTCCTGTGCCTTGGACCTAGCAACCTTACACATGTCCATGATTTCAATGTCTGGTGACCTTTTGCCTTCTCCTTATCACTTCGTCTCATTGCCTGGGTACCTGGACTCCTGAGTTGTTTTCTGTGAATGGATATGTGCACCCGGGTGCATTTTGAGTGCTGGGACTCACCAAGGGTCAGAAGCTCTGAGGCCAGTGAGATAGCTCAGCATACTAATTGCTTGCTTAGGCAAGCCCAGGGACCAGGGTTCGATTCCTGGCACCACATGTGCCACTGGCCCTGCCCCTGGGTGTGCTGAGCTGGCTACAGAGTCTGGGCATGGTGATGCACACCTTTACTCCTAGTGCTGGGGAGGGCGAAAACAGGAAG